AGAGAGAGAGAGAGAGAGAGAGAGAGAGAGAGAGAGAGAGAGAGAGAGAGAGAGAGAGAGAGAGAGAGAGAGAGAGAGAAGAAGTGAGACAGAGAGAGAAGAGATCACCTACCTGGATGAGGATGCTGGATATAGGTTGCTGAGCTCTGCCCTGACGAGCACTGGTGACTGGAACTGAAACTGTTTAATATGATAATTTGTTCGAATTTCTAAGCTGCGCTAATCTGCACTTTGCATCTCTGGTCTCCAGTGTGGATTTTGTGTGATCTCTCATGATGTATGTGCTTGAGGTGACGAACAGTGTGGTTCAATGCAATTGGTATCGGAGCTGGTACTCACTCCATCCGCTGTTGATGAGCGCTGGCAAGATTAAGGCCGGCGAGATGAGATCTGGAGTTTGACATTGGGGTTGGAGGCCGAAGAAGAAGTGCCCGATAGTGGGGAATGTTGAGTACGTACCTGCACACGTGGAGCGATTTCGTGGAGCGTCATCAAAGGAGCATTCACAAGTGAAGTGCATCGCCCCCATCAGTCCTGCATTTGCTTTCGTGGATGAATGAGTGTCCTGTGTACCTTCCCACATCTCAGTGTCGCTGCTGCTGGACGAAACACCTGGTGACATATCTGATTTTCTCTTAAGTCAGCATCTGGTCAGACACGTGCATGAATTAAGTCGAGTCTAGGATAGAAGCTCAGCAGCTGGATGACTCACCCGTAAGTAGGGAGCATGGGCATGAGCGGCGAGCGCTCGTTAAGCAACTCGTCTAGCCCTAAGAACGGTACTGACCGGCATGCGATCGAACAGGAACTGACGCAGTGAGGTCAGACTCCAATCGAGATTAAGTCAGGTTAAGTGTTGAGAGCGAACCTTCAGATCCTGATGGGCACGACGTCCTGTCTGCGTCGTTAAAAAATTCCTGAGGTCCTTGCTGGATGACCTTAAACTGTTGGTTGCCGACCAGCCTAGTGACACTGTGAGGGGGGAGAACAAAGGCAAGTCGGACTCCAATCTAGATTAAGTAAGGTTAAGTGTTGACGGCTAGGTCTACGTGGTGAGGAGGTGGAGGCTACTTACCTGTGCTTTCAAACACCATGGATGACTACCCAATGTTTGCATTCTTGAACCTGTCTGTGTTATGGGATCCCCTTCTTCGCTTCCTGTTTCCTTTGGGTTTCCACCAGGCATGCGGTATGAGCATAATCATGAGGTCAGGTGGGACCACACAGCCATACACAAATGACGAGCAGGCAGAAATTGATAGGAAGTTGGCTGAGAAGAAAAAGAAAGACGGGAGAAGAAAACGAAAAAGGAGGAGGAAGTAAAATAAAAATTGGAGAAGGAAAGAAAGAAGATGGATGAGCAGAAAGAGAAAATTGAGAAGGAGATGAGAAGGAAGGAGGAAAAAATAAAGAAAGAGTTTGAAGAAGAAGAGGAGGAGGTGGCCAAGAGCAGCCATGCCGGAGAGATAAGGCTCCAACGGGTTGAAGACATAGATTGGGTGGCAAAATTTGGGTTCCACGCAGAAATGACATATGCTACTGATGATGAGGAGAGGGTTTTGTTGCTAGAAGAGAGGAGGAGTGCCCTCGATCAGCGTTTGCTTTATCAAAAAAGGAAAGAATATAATGAGAAGAAAAGATTGAGGGAAGGAGGGGAAAAGCCCAGGCCTTGCTGAGAGATCACAAAGACAAGGAAGTAGATGTTAAAAAGAACTTAAGCCTCATCACTGACACGTTGCTGCACACCACCCAAGAACTCGCAGTGCTGCAGAAATCTGTCGGGAAGTTGGAAAGACGTCAAGAGGAATTCCAGGGCACATGGAATAACTTCCTTAGTGCTTCTTCCCACATGATCGATAAGAGGATCCTTGGCTACGCCCATCAGTTAGACAAACACTTCACCCAAAAGTTGGCTAACACCATCGCGTTCGTAGCCTTAGGAGGTGGTCGTGGTGGAGGTGATGCGGGAGATGATGGTGACGGTGACAAGAAAGGAAAGGGTCCGAAGAAGGAAGGTGGAAAGAGAGGTGAAGGAGATAGGTATGAGGGAGGAGAATGCAGAGAAAAGATGAAGGTAAAGGTCCCTTGGACGTATACAGTGAAGAGGGAGTTCATGCCTAGGGGGAGATGCAGCTAGCTTCGCAATACTCACAACGGACCAGGATCGAGGATTTCTTCAAGACCCTGAAAGACCGCTTTGAGGAGCACCTCATCCTTCATATAAGTGCCTGACAGCGGAAGAGTGCATCAGCACTCAAGGCCACTATGGGCAAGCTGCTACAATGTCCCGATCATGGCCTGACCCTCGCCCAGATACTAAACAACTTTGCTAGATCGGTGCCTGAGCCCCTCAAGACCCAGTTGTATCCCCGTACTAAGGAAGAGGGAATGACTTATGAGAAGTTCAGCAAGATAGTTGTAGACCATGTCGGTTTCCTGCAAAAGGCAAACTATTGTCATTATTGGAAAGACCAGCAGACCGGAAAGAGATGGACGAATAAAACTATATCAGGTGGTATTGAGGGAAAGGATAATATGTTGGTCACCTTCAAAGAAGGAGGTGTACAGTCATCACCATCTAACCAGATAGACTATGGCTTAGACGAAGACAACAACAGCCAAGTAGCCCGGGGAGAGGACTATGTGGCAGTTGCGGCCCGTGGGGGAGGGCGATAAGGAAGAGGCTGAGGTAAAGGTGGAGGTCAAGGATCTGCTGCCCCAAAGGGGTAGTGGTGAAGGAAGCTACTACGTGGGAGGTGGGGGTAATGGTTCCTCACAAGGTGGTAGAGGCTCTCCCTTCATAGCGGGTAGAGGTAGAGGCAGGAGTTGGTGACCGTACCCAGCACACCCGGGGATAGCCGAAGGCAAACCTTGGGAACAAATGAGAAGGTTTGGGAAGCACGGCGCTAAGCCAACCAACGTTTCAAGTGTGGTGACCCCGACCACATCGTTCCCTTCTGTCCCGAATAAAGGTACCCAAAAGGGAACAGGCAGTAGAGGTTGCAGTTGCCTCTACGAGGACTTCAGACTCAGACAGGAAGACAGAATCACACGCTGAACAGGCACCCTCCTGTCCGAAGGTTCCAATGTCAAAGACTAAGGTAGGCCGCCACCTAGCTAGTTATCCAGAGGTTGCTTGTGTTAGGACCTCTCTAGGTGGTTCCCTCGCAAGCATTGGTGATGAGCTAATCACTCGTCGCCACGCTTGGGCCGAAATGAAGAAGCAGTCTAGCAGATGTAAAAGTAAGTAGAGAGAAGATAGGCGCATTAGTAGACAGTTGGTCAACGCAAAGTTACATAAGTCGAAGAGGGTTGCAGAAAATGCACCTAGGTATAAAGGTGAAGAAGTTAAAGGATCCAGTCATTAGTAAGTTGGCCAACAACAGAGAAATGATAGTATGTGAGTATGTTGAAGGAGTCAAGGCATACTTTTGGTTGGAGGCAGGGGGAAAGGTCGAGAAAATTATGCACTCCCTAACACTCTTAGTGGAGGACAGCCTTCCTTTTGACATGATATTAGGAACAGACTGGGCAACGCCGCGTATGCCGACATTAAGATGGGGGAGCATGAATGTTGGCTGCCTAGTCCCACAGGTGGAAAAAATAAATTGTGTTTGTATCATGCATCCGGCGTAGAGAGTAGCTTGTTCCTTTGCTATACAAGTCCCCCCGCATTCGCCAGGCAGGTGGTCAAGAATGACCTCGTTGAGCAAGTGTCTGTTGCCTATGTGAGACGGGTTAGTGAGGGAAAAAAAGGAAGAAGTGCCAATACCA